TGGGAAGGTGGCTCAGTGGTAGAGTGCTTGCCTTGCATGCCTGAGGCCCTGGGTTCGATTCCTCAGCACCACATAAGCAAAAAGAAAAATCCAGAAAGTGGTGCTGTGGCTCAAGTGGTAGAGCGCTAACCTTGAGCTGAAGAGCTGAGGGACAGCGCCCAGGCTCAGAGTTCAGGCCCCACGACCGGACCCAAAAAAAAAAAAAAAAAAAAAAAAAAAGGGTACCAAAAAAAAAAAAAGAATAAAAAAAGGAGGTAGTGCTGTGGCTCTAGTGGTAGAGCACTAGCCTTAAGCTGAAGAGCTGAGGGACAGTGCTCAGGCCCAAAGTTCAAGCCCCATGACCGACCAAAAAAGAAAAAAAAAAGAGTACAAAAAGGGAGCACATCTGGGGCATAGAAAAAAAAGGGTACAAATACAATCTCATTCTAATTTCATTTCCTCCATGTGTCCACTGATGGCACCAATGCTATCAACTCAGGAGCTATCAGTGAAGAAGAGAGCATGCAGGCTTTGAGTCACCACTGCATTTCACCCAGAAGGTTCTGTGGCTGGCTAGAAAGGTAATAGCAATGTCCCTACAGACACAACCACTTAGTGACTGGCAAGATGGAACTTCTTATCCAAGGCCAACTCAGGAAGGCAGTTCACCAATGAGTTGAGAGAAGAGGTAACTTTGGACAAAGCTGTATTTTAAGAACAAATTCAGTGTTCAAAGTCAATAGGATGGGTGCCTGTAGCTCACGCCTATAATCCTAGCTACTTAGGAAGTTGAGATCTAAAGAATTCTGGTTTGAAACCAGCCCAGGCAGGAACATCTGTGAGACCTTTTTTGTTTTTTTTGCCAGTCCTGGGGCTTAAACTCTTGGCCTAGGCACTGTCCTGAGCTTCTTTTTGCTCAAGGCTGGCACTCTACTACTTGAGCCATGGTGCCACTGCTGCCTTTTTCTGTGTATGTGGTACTAAGGAATCAAATCCAGGGCTTCCTGCATGCTAGGCAAGCACTCCACCACTAAGCCACATTTCCAGTCCTGTGAGACTCTTTATCTTCAATTAACCAGCAAAAAGTCAGAAAGGTAGAGCAGCAGCTTCAGGGGAAAAAAAAAAAGTTCAGGGACAGGCCCTGAATTCAAGCCCCAGGACCAGCACTAAATGAACCTAAGGATAGGACAGCTGTTTGGATAACATGAATAGTATCTAATGTTAACTTCCAAGTCTTGAAGTTTATCTTATTATTATTTCAGAGCTTAGGTGCTGTCCCTGAGCTTTTTTGCTTAAGGCTAGACTCTACCACTTTGAACTATAGCTCCACTCTGGTTTTCTGGTGGTTAACTGGAGATAAAGAGTCTTGTGGACTTTCCTGGCTTTGAACCGTGACTCTCAGATCTCAGCCTCCTGAGTAGCTAGGAATAAAGGCTTGAGCCACCAGCACCGGCAAAGCTTATTATTATTAAACTTTTTTTTTTTTTTTGTCATGGGGCTTGAACTCTGGGCCTGGGCACTATCCTTCAGCTCTTTAGCTTAAGACTAGTGCTTTACCACTTGAGCCACAGCACCACTTCTGATTTTCTAAGTGGTTTATTGGAGATAAAGAGTTTCACAGACTTTTCCTGCCTAGGCTGGCTGTGATCTTTAGATCTTAGCCTCCTTTTTTTTTTT